ATAGAATTTCCGAAGACTAGACTTTAGGGATCTTTGAGGAAAACATTCCGTTCTGCTGAATTTAGCATTGTCTTCTGTCGCTCTTTGATTTGCAGGTCTATGAGGGATAAGCTTCAGCTTTGAGCTACATGAATTTGCACTTATAATTTTACTCGCTGTTAAGAAGAAAAATATATTGAATACACAAAGCAAGCTCTCTTGAAATGCATCACTAGGCTTCATTCTCCTTGGTTTTCAAAAGGATTACCAAAGTTAGTTACTAGTTCAATGTTTGAACACCGTGCAAATACTAGTCACGTTACACCACCGGAGTCTCTTCAATATCATTTATATTGCCGAACTAAATGATTCGAAGGAATATAGATGTGGAACTTATATTTTCCTAAGAGGTTTCAACAATCCACTAATTCCAGCGTAATCTGTATGTACAAAATCACTAACTTTGCCATGGTTATAATTCCTATCTTTCATACTCAGTAACCGGTTATCACTGCTCATTCATTATTTCGTCATCACTATTAATTACCCATTACTAAAACATTTGATTATCCTATACTATAATTCCGTCAAACGACCACTTATCTCTCCCCAATAAAATATTTTTATATCTTTTAGCAACCGCCCAACTATGTAGTAAAGCTGATTGACTTTTTGGGAAAAGAATACAGCTTTTGGAAAGACGTACAAGACTGAAGCACTGGAGAAAGTAAAGCAAATGGACACGTTCACAATTTACTTTGATATAGTTCGTGTTCAAGTAGGAACATCGATTCGAATATACTTTGTGTATAACAGACGGACAAGTTAACAGTCCACTCCTGTGCGGTTACATTTCCCTATCACATTCGGAAACTATGTAGGAACCCGATAGCGTTGATAACTATAGTAAATACACCAGTATGAGACGTGGTACAGTCGCATGTATGCGCTACATGTGTATATGTTATGCACACGCTTAAGTATAGATGCGCGCGGTCACAAAAATACGATACATGAGTATATAGAATGCATAGATTAAGGTCTATGGACTCCATAGTATACAAATAGGTATGGATGCGACTTGTTCTGGGCCGTAGTTCAGCAGCAGTGAACAATGAATAAATTGTCAGCATTCAAATCGTTTGGGCTGCGACTTGTCTATTGACGGTACACTCCATTACATTCATACCACAAACAAGTTCACTGTTGACCCTTAAGCAGTGGTTACGACACAGTTAGTTGATATTCTTTTTGGTCTGCACCAGACCTAATGAACCTGACTAAAGATAATCCAATCAAACACTAAAAGGAAAAATTATTCTTCCAGTTGTTCATTTCACTTTGTCTATACAATATGCACCTTTTTGATAACCGAAATTAAAGACTGAATGAGGGACTAACTCGATTTCTATCTAGACGCTCACGATAGTTCATAAAATATGGTTCTGTTATCTTTAAGATATGTTTTCTATATGAGTGCTTGAATCAGCTACTTGAGTGAGAGAATCAAGAATGAGTAAGAAGCTTTTATTAGCCAATTGAATCAAGAATACATTCACAATTCATTCACAGATATAGACAATTTTCCCTCAGAAAATTAAACCACATTATCAAATAATAGCCTATGTTTATTTCTGTTATATCCTGTGGAGATTTATGAATGGTAACTTTGAGGACTGTTTATGGACCAATATGATATGTATATTTCCCATTGTATAATTGTCAAGTAACTTAACTGTTCATATTCATTATGAGCTTTATTTTGACCCATGGACTATTACTGTACGATTTACCATTCCTGAGTTATCCTCAGTCTATTAATTACTGTTTCTCCTATTCACAGCCACATTTGGTTAAATCGTGTGCAAATGTTATATTCAATTTTATGTCACGATGTGGTCATTTTGGTTGGTATATAAACCCAGTATGTTTGAGAATAATGATTGATATTGCACAGGCTGTTATTGGTGTTGTGAAATTAACTAGCTGGCCTAGGTATAAAGCATGACTGATAATTACTCAAGACAGCTAATACGGCTTTTGTGTATCATTGGGCGATCAGTAAATTCACTCCTCTCCAATCGGCGGTCTCATAACGTCATATATATCAACTGGGGAAGAACGCCCAGGCAATCGATATAACGATTTCCTCAAAAAAAAGGAAGGCAAATCTTGATCAATAATATTTGACGGCTCAATAATATTGACCAATTGAACTTCAGTCAACTTTTACAGTCGATCAGCAGATTCTTTACTTAGGATAATTACACATTCACAGTTTGTGAATACGTCACATATATTGATTACGTTGGGTTCAGATTAATCTCTGACTGTTTTAATAATTTCAAATCTCATCTACGATATTCATTTCTTAAGAGCTTCTATCACAATAATGTTCAACATCACTTTATTAGATCTATTATTGGAGATATTCAGCTGGATGATATTGGAGTGCAGTAAACTTTGATCTATATCATCAGATTAGTAAATACTGGCAACAAATGTGTCAGATTAGTAAATAAACATGTCAGTAAACGTTAACTGTTATATTAGAATGTTTATTTGGCTTATTTAAAATGCTTGGTAATATAATTTTGACCCTTACTTTCATAACGTCAATAATTTATTTTTCCCATTGAAATAATTGAAACGAAGCATGAAACTGCTTTTTCATTTGATAGTTAAAGTTATATCACCATGGAAAACCTGGAAAGACTGGGCGACCGTTTCATCCTACCATGGTACTCCTCAGTAGTGCGCATGCATGACCCCGCCTCTCAAGTTCCGAACACAGGATTTATCATTCTCTAGCGCGAACGCTTAACCTCTAGACCATTGAGGTGGCGTCCAACGAATTAATATCTAACTTCAACCAATCCACGAAATTGAGGAACCATTCACCATTGTTTTCAATGAGTTACTATCTGACAACAGACCTAGTTGAACTGCACTGATCACTACTACTCACCAGAACTTCAGGAAATACCTCTTGAAGATTTCAGTAATTTTATAGTTGAATTCATGAGTTGATTGGAGCTAGATCACTATAGAAAACCTGGAAGCACTGGACGGTTGTTTCGTCTTATTGTAAGACTTTCATTACCAAACTTGAAAGTTTTTCTGTTTCATAAAATCAAAATAATAAAGTTATTTAATTTAGTTTGAGTAAATTAGTATTCTGTAAAGAACAGAATACGCGTGGGGACAATTGAACTTATTTAAACACAAATTACAGACTATCTCACTAAATTCTGATAACCATACAGTAAACAGTTAATTTGCAAAATAACAATCAATTGTCTAAATCTTCACTGTTCCTTCCGTAAATATCAGTTCATCTTCTCTAATTTCATTGTTCATGCCTTTTCCCACCAACTGCGCTTCGTTCTTATTCTTTCCTTATCGATCTTCTACTGAAATGCGTTCTATACCTGTCCCTCACCATATACTACTTATGTGGATATAAGTAACCCACACCATAATACTTCATATAGAGCTAAATGTATTGTCTACTGTATGGTTATCAGAATTTAGTGAGATAGTTTGTAATTTGTGTCTTAATACTTTCGATTATCCCCAACCGGTGTTTTGTTCATTACACTATTTAGAAGTATACTTAATACAAACATATGTATATGAATGTTAACTATTAATGTCACCATTTTATTCTCAAGATTAACTTCTACTTATTTTATGTGGTTGAAATCATGAATCAATTGAAGCTAGACCACCATGGAAAACCTGGAAGCACTGAACGGTCGTTTCGTCCTACCATGGCACTTCTCATCAGTGCGTATCCATGATCCCACCTCACGAGATTCGAACACAGGACATATCATTCTCACACACGAGCGATTAACCACTAGACCACTGAGTCGGCATCCGCCGGTGTCGATGTCTAACCAATGTCTTCAATGAGTTGACCCTTTAATTTAATCACACTGATCCATTGACGTATTTAAAATTTTAAAAAATTATTCATATCCATTTGTAGTAACTTTTTTTGTTTTTACATATATTGTAAAACGTTTGTAATTTATCCCTAAATGACCTCAACTATTGTGTACACACAGATGTATATATACACATGAAACAATAGCTCATACAATGATCTTCATATACTTTTAGAAAAAGAAAAATCATTTGATAAATTAGCTACCTTTTTTTTCTTTCTTTGTAAAGTTTGACCGTTTTTTTTGTACAGGAATGTTATGTCATATAGTGATTCTAGTTCACATGGCTTTATTCATGTAGGCCATATACATATCTATATAGTTAGCCTAGGTCAGTTTATTATTGTGAACAAAGAACATGTGAACATGTAAGTATTGTCATATTTTTTTTGTCGTTTACTAAAATTACACCGTTTAGATTCCATTCTGTTCACAACCTCATAAATTACTGTATACAAACCCTTAAGTATTCTCCCTATCCTCCTATTCTGTGTAAAGTATATGTAAATTTAGTATTCCCTTATAATTGAGTGTCTTAAATGGGATATTAAATAGTGCATATCATAATACATACAGATTCATAATACAATCCCAAATAACACACCCTCTATTTTACCCAATGAAAAATGTAGTACAAAATCCAATAATTAGTTTAAATTATATTCATATTGATTTAAACAAACTACACACACAATGGTTTGTGTCTTTTTACAATAGTAGTGATATTTGTGTAAAACCTTTGCATTTCTATTCTATATAGACAGGCAAAGTAGATATATCTATCTATAAAAAGGGGGATATATTTGTGTTAACTCCCCTTTCTCTTCATTAACTATTTCCTAGTTTTGAAAACAAACACAATTTTTTATATATGCACAATTCAATGTGGATTGGGCAATTTAAGTAGATTTGTGCTTGGTTATGTGTATGTTTTATATGTGCATCTTTCTATTACTAAATAAGGCAAATATGAACAAAACAAATAATTCCTCTCTGTTTTCTCTTCTCTTTTTTTTTAAAAAAAAATTATCCTTTTGTATATTTATAATCATCATCGTCATTGTCATCAACACCGTTCATAGCAGTTATAAACATTAAGGAAAACATTAACCTTTTCTTCTATTTTGTCAATGATTATTCAATTATATTATAATTAAAGTAAAAAAGGAGAAAAAAAAAGAATCTTATCATCAAAAATATTCTTTCCAAAATAATTATTTATTATAAAAAATAGTAACCATGGAAACAGCATTTTCAAAAACAGTTGATGAAGTTTTACATCATTTTGAAACAGATCCAGAAACTGGTTTAAGTGATGAACAAATTAAAAAACAAACGGCAAAATTTGGTCCAAATGGTAAATTTTTTTCTATGATTATTATTATTATTATTATCATTATTATTATTATTAGTAGTAGTAGTAATAGTAATAGTAATGTTAGTAGTAGTAATAGTAATAGTAAGTTTCTAATATGCATAAAAAACTACATTTAATTAGTTAGCTCAAGTTTAATTAAGATTTATTTAGTAGAAATCATGAGTTAATTGAAGCTAGGTGGATGTGCACTTCTAAGGAGTCTCGGGGAGTAGAATGAAACGGCCATTGAGCAGTGCTTCCACGTTTTTCATAATAGTTTTAGCTTCAATTGACTCATTATTTCAACTATGAAAATACTGAAATCTCAACAAAACTCTTTCTGATTTATTTAGTCATTTTAAATTAACATATTGAATTGGATTATATTGAATATTTAACAAATTAATAATAATAATACTAATTTAGTTTATCAGTAGTTAATTGTTAAGATCATTTTTTTTGTATTTTAAATGTTTATCCTTAATGAGTATTATAATGAAGTATGAACGAGATATATTTTGTCATTTGGAAAATATTATTCATTATACCGTTGATGTATAGTGTTTTATTGTGGTGTATACTACTTATGTCGATGGATATAAGTAATATATAACACCAAACAAAAGTGGAATTCTTGACAAAAGAAGGTTAGGAATATCGAATTGAAGAGAACAGATACAGAGAATGATTGTTATAGCAACAATGATGGAATGATGAAGTTTGAGACAATTGATGAATGATTTGTAAATGAAGTATTGAATGTGTAGTTTTCATATTTTACAAAAATAGAATTCTTTAATTTTGCATTAAAGCATAGTTTATTGTCTCCAATCTGTATTCCTGTTCATTACAGTATATGTTAAAGTTTGGAATTTAGTATCCTTTGCATGTTAACGACCAATTGAATGATTCAAATAGAATAGTTCTCATTCAATGATACTTTACCTTAGTGAATCAAGCTATCAATTTTTAAGATATGTGTTACCAAAGCCAAATTTGGACTTGATAATTTCATATGAATTGGAGTATTGGGTAGAAAATTGTCTTATCCCAATGAATAGAAAAAATTGTATTTCTGACGTTTTCTTCTTCTTTCCATAATTAAATTACTAACTATAATGATTGAAATGATCTAATCTTTCTAATTTATTTAACTCCGTAGCAATTAGATAAGTCAGCTACAACGTAGGATCAGGCACATATATGCATAGGTTCTTGTTGCCATACCTCATTAACACAACAAGGTGAACACCAAATTCATAGAAGTAGTTAATTTAATGGTGGTAATATATAAAATAAAGATTGTATATAAGGATATAGTACAGGAAGAAGGACAAATATGAAGCCATTTTAATCTTAAGGTTTAAGGGAAGACAGAGATTGTATACACCTACGCCATTGTGATCAATTCTGAGCCATGTCACCTAGAGTTTCCAACCATTGGTTACGATAGCCATGCGCACCCCAATTGAGTAGTCTACATCTACCACCATGGCTCAGACTAGAAGTTGGTGACTTCAAGCACTGATGCTACGTTTTGGTTTAGACGCTCCTAACTAATTAGATTTATTCTAGCACTTGGATCAATATAAAATTTCAAAAAATCCTATCAATATTTAGTAATGGTCATTATATATATAGTGAATTGACTGGATTTATCAAATGTAAATAGTTGGATCCAAACCCATTGACTAAATAACATCATATTCAACTTGCTAAGGGTAAAAATTCTTAATATCTAAATAGCGTTTTGTTATTGTTATTATTAGCTTTATTCAATGTATTTCAACAAGTTTCAGTTTCTTACTTCTTGATTAATCCTGACGATAAGTATTGAATGATCGCCAGTTATAAATTAGCAGTCCAGACAATCGACATCAGGAACCACGATATCTCTGATTGGGTATTTTGTAACTTGTACAATGAAAAGTTGTACACTTTTCATAGACGCATCTGAATAGGTTATGCAATTAATATCTATAATGATGTATTAAAACAAACAAAATAAGATAATTTTTATAAATTTGAAATTGTGAGTCAATTGAAGTTAGACCACCATGTAAAACCTTGAAGCACTGCTTGATGGCTGTTTCGTTCCATTGTGGCACTTCTCAGCAACGGCCGTACAGTGCTTCCAGGTTTTCCGTGGTGGTCTAACTTCAATTGACATATGATTTCAACTATATAAAATTACTAAAATCTCCACATAACCCCCTTCTAAAAAAATAAAATAACTTGTTGAAATATATAGATGACAAGAACAGGTACCGCAGATGTTCAATTAGGCTACCTATTTTGATATTACAGTTAGAGAATACATTATTTATTTATTTATTTAAACACATAAATATTGGTACAAAAAAGCACCAGATACACATGCGCCATACAAATCTCATTCGATTTGCTTGAGGGCTGTGATACTGTTCAGGTGCCCAAACTGAAGCAGGTGGTTTACTTAGGGGCCCACACTCGGAGCCTTTGACCGAAAGATCTGATCCACAAGGCAGTGGATCATCGTGAGGAGATGTAGACCCATGGTAGCCGGTGGTCAACGATTGATTCGTACGCCATTTGTTCCTTCAGGATACTGGAGCCAGCCCGTGTGCATCATTGGTTTGGAATCAGAGTTTTCCAACTCACCTAGGTGGACTCGCCTTGTCCACCAACCAGGATAAAGCGCCAGAGATTTACTTTTTGTCCTCTCACTTTCGTAAACAACACCCCCGCCACGAGAAGGCAGTGAGTAGGACTTCCATGGCAGGGGCTATATATTTGCTGGCCATGTGAGAGCATTTCGAGAGGGAGAGCGGACCCTCCCCACTCTCGGTCGTACCAGGGCATTCGGAGGCAGAGAATACATTACGATCACAGATAAGATCAAAATTAGAAAATTTATTAACCTTAAGAGTGTTGTGTATTTTTTTCATCAATCTACTATATTATTGTTTCCCATCAAAAAATGTACAATTTTTGTGCTTTTTTCTTTTTTTCACCGTGAAATTCCTTTTCAAGTTACATGTTAATGTTAGTAGATCAATAAATGGAGGGGGGAGGGAAATCGACTGTTCATTACCCCAATATATATATATATATATCATTATTGTCTAGTTAATAATGTAATTTCTATGTTTTTCCAAACTTTTTGTCTTTCAGAACTTCCTGCTGAAGAATGTAAGTTGAATGTTTCTATTTAGTTATAATTTGATATACCAACATAATGAGATCTGATCAATATTTCTAAATAATAATAAATTCATTTAATATTGTTTGTTTGAATCTTCCCATTGATGATGTTTAGGACTGTAACTGGTCAGTCTCTAATTTGGCATATGTGCATACTGTGTGTATTGCCTCGATATAGCTTTAATTCACAAGCATTGTAAGCAAAGATGGATAGTGGCTTATAGTGGAATCCAGTTTGACGCGCGTTTCATCCTATTTGGGAACCGTCAGCTGGATGTACCTGTATTTCAGAGTTGATGATCACTCTAAGACTCGAACCCAGTACCTTTCGCTTCAAATGATAATAATAATAATAATAATAATAATAATAATAATAATAATAAGTCAACATCCTTTTTTGGAAAAAAATGACTTAGTACAGTGACTAATTATGATAGTTTAAGGATTATTACATAACTAATATTAGATTGATTCAAATGTTGACTTAACGAACAAATAAAATCTAATCTATGTAAATAAAGATATCTATTCTGTTGGTAAATAATTTGAATTCATTATTTATGACATTCAAACTAGAAAAAAACTAAACTAGACTACCATGGAAAACCTGGAAACACTGGACTATCGTTTCGTTCTATTGTAGTGTAGAGGTTAAGCTCTCGCACGCGAGACTGATAGGTCGTGAGTTCGAATCTCGCGAGCGAGGATCACGGATACGCACAGTATGGTATTAATAATAAATACAACAGTATATTTCATATGTAAACGTATGATTTTTGAGTAAATTATGTTTATTTTCATAATTGAATTCACTAATCAATCTAATCTAGAACACCGTTGGAAACCAGAAAGCTCCTCAGTAGTAAGCATTCACAATCCCGCGGACGGGACTCTAACCCAGCACAGGTCTCATGCATGAACGCTAAGCATCTAGACCACTGAGCTCTAATCCCATGGTGTTAATATCTAACTTCAATCGGTCCATTATCTTGTGTAATCTTTCATTCATTGTCTTTGGTGGTTAAGTGCCTCACACCCAACAAGGATGAGAATCTGCTGGTCATGGCTTCTTACTAAATCTCCAAGAGTTACATGTTGAAGCTAGTCACTGGTGAACAAATGATTATTATCAGTATGGAGATTTGTAGAAATTGTAGTATTTTCACAGTTGGAACCACGAGTCGATCTAAGATAGACCACCATTGAAAACTACACAGACACTCATACTGAAAATTATGTCTAGTATAATCAAAGCTGATCGATGTTTATCAATCGGAAAGTTATAATGTAATCAGTAAACTGACAGACATTACATTTACGTTCTTATATCAGTCAGTCACAACGTAGAACTTCGTACGTACGTACATCAGTTCGAGTTGCCATACCACATTAGCACAGAGATGCAGTTGTCCATTCAAATCCCATAGTGGTAGAAGTAGTAGGAGTATAATCAGAAATCCAAAAGATTAAGATTTGAAGAAATTATTGAAGGAGTATAGTACAGTGAAATAAATTTGGAAAGAGAAAAATATAAAGACATGAGGAATTCAGAAGATTAGAATTTGGTAGAACACAAAGAGTGGATGCACCTTTGCCATTGCAAACGATTTTGAGCCATGTTATTCAAGGTCTCTAACCATCGGTTGCTGTCGTCACGCGAATCCCAACCAGGTAGTCTACACCTACCAACATGGCCCAGTCCACTTGTCAGTGACTTCATTGATTTGTGCCACGTTTTGGTCTGGCCACCCCTAGCTTTCTTCCAACCTATTCCTACACCATAAAACATTGCACGTCGGGGCAGTCGGTGGTTGGGCATACGTAACACGTGTCCCAGCCATCTCAACTGATGAAGTTTCAGTACTTCATCAATTGATTTGCCATCCCTACCTAGTACTCGTTTCCTAACAACTGCATTACTTACCCGGTGGTCCCAGGATATACGAGCAATGCTTCGAAGACACCTATGATCGAACACTAGTAGCCTACGAATATCCTCTACTCTTATTGGCCATGTTTCACTGCCATAAAGTAGGACGGAGCGAACTGTTGCACAGTAAACCCGTCCTTTGGTTGCTAGACAGATATCTCGCCTACGCCATAAATGACGCAAGTCGGCGAAAGCTAGACGAGCCTTCTGTATCCGTGCTGAGATTTCGTCACATACCAGACCACAAGGGCTGATGAGACTACCAAATTAAGTGAAGTGGTCTACACGCTCAACTACTTCACTCCCTATCATTAGTTCAGGTGTCGCTGCAACCCAATCCTGAAGTAACATTTTGCACTTCGAGGGAGAGAATCGCATCCCGAACATGCCTGCATAGTTGCTTATAGTGGTCAGAAGTCTCTGCATGTTGCCAGCGTCCTCACAAAGTAAAACTATGTCGTCGGGGTATTCTAAGTCAACAAGTGAGCCTCCCGGTAAAAGTTCAACTCCTGGAGGTTTAGCTGATGAAATTGTTATCTCTAAAAGTATGTCAATGACAAAGTTAAACAACAATGTGGAGAGTGGACAGCCTTGACGAACACCACTTGAGGTAATCAATTCTGATGACAGTTCGCCATAGGCTCTAACTCGACCAGTTGTGTTCGAGTAGAGAGCCTTTATGAGGTTAATGTACTTCTTTGGTACTCCTTTCACTGACAAACACTGCCATAGAACCTCACGATCAACGGAGTCAAATGCCGCCTTAAGGTCAAGAAATACTACTATTGTGGGACGTCTGAATTTGTGTCTATGTTCTAGAACCTGACGTAGGGTGAATATCTGGTCAATGCAACCACGTCCAGGTCGAAAACCAGACTGGTTTTCTCTAGTCTGCTCGTCATGAGCTTTGGTTAGGTGTCCAAGTATTATTGAAGCTAAAATTTTAGACACTATATTAGTCAAACTGATCCCTCTGTGATTGTCACAGGAGGACTTTTGTCCTTTCATATAGACTGGCATAATCAGTGATTGGGACCAGTTAGATGGAATTACGTCCAGTTCCCAAATTCTACCTAAGACCTCAGTCAATCTCACTGCTAGTACTGGACCACCATCCTTAAAAATCTCAGTGGTAAACTTGTCAGGGCCTGCGGCTCTCCCTCGCTTCAGATTTCCTATAGCTTTTTCAACCTCAAAGAGGGTTGGAGGACTTACATCAATTTGCCATTCAGGACGACTGGGGATCGTGGGGAATTGAAGTGTGGCTGAAGGCCAGTTGAACTGATCCCTAAAGTGTTCTGCCCATCAATCCAATCTCCTGGATTGAGAGTGAATAATATGCCCATCTTTATCTGAGATGGTTTCACTGATATTCGGGTTCCTAATACCGGTTTCTTTAACGAGTCTGAATAGCTGCCTACTGTTACCTATTGCCGCTGCCTTTTCCATCTCTCTTGCTTTCGCTACCCACCACTGTTCACGATCATTACGTAGGCTTCTTATAAGCCTGCGCTTAAGTTGACTCCGCTCTTCGTTATGCTCAGAGCCAGGTTGGATGAGTTTTCGAGCATCTATCAGTGCGGTAGATGCTGCCGAGATCCATTGTTTCTTATATAATGGTTGTTAAATATTTAAAATCATTCGGAAAAAAGCTCAGAACTTAAATTTTATACTAATGACTATAAACAAGTATCCAAAATCACTTACTTACACCCGTTACCCCTCGTCGAGGAGCATAGGCCGCACACCAGCATTCTACATCAAACCCTGTCCTGGAAATTCCTATCCTCTTCTTTCCCGTTGTTATTTATCTTTTTCATATCTGCTCCTATTTCCCGGCGTAATGTATTCTTTGGCATTCCTCTTTAACGCTTACCTTCAGGATTACAAGTTAGTGCTTGCCTCGCGATGCGGTTTGGTGATTCCCTCAATGTAGGTCCTATCCACTTCCAACGTCTTTTACTAATTTCCTCTTCAACTGAAAGCTGGTTTGTCCTCTCCCACAAAAGGCTGTTGCCCATGATATTAGGCCGGTGAATGTTGATTATTTCGAGAAAACAACTGTTTATAAATACTTGCACATTCTTGATGATGGTTGTGGTAGTTCTCCACGTTTCAGCTCCGTATAGTAGGATTGTGTTGACGTTCGTATAAGAAGATTCTCACTTTGAAGTTAGTTGACAGTTGTTTTGAGTTCTATATGTTCTTCAATTGTAGGAATGTGGTCCTTGCTTTGTCGATCCTCATACGTAGCTCTTCTAGAGTTACTACCGGTCCTAAGCCCGGGTAAAGGAGGAGGGTGAGGTGGGATCGTGAATACACACTGCTGAGGAGTGCCACAATAGGACGAAACAGCCGTCCAATGCTTCCAGGTTTTCCATAATGGTCTAGCTTTAATTAACTCATGATTTCAACTATGATTAAAATCTACTACTATCTTATGTAAAAGTTATCAATTATTCTGTATAATTTATTTTTTTAAAACTTTTATTATAGCTAAAGCAATTTGGCAACTTGTACTTGAACAATTTGATGATTTACTTGTTAAAATTTTATTACTGGCCGCAATTATCTCATTTGTAAGTATCCTTTTTTTTTGTTTTTTTTCGGTATGGAAGGGGGGGGAGAAAGGAAAGAGTTTAAAACTTTCTAATTTCATTTTTAATTTATGAATATGGAAATTCATTCTTGTCTTTTAATGAATAAATAAGTAGTAATTAAGTAGTATAATTACAATAGAATAACATGTATTCATTTTAATTCATTAGTTTCTTATCAGTAGATTATCAGCTGAGGTGGTTCTGGCTGACTGATTAACCTCTGTATATACAATAATGTTTACTTTAGAAATGATATTTAATTTACAATTGTATCAGTTTATTCAGTTTGTAAAACTCTGGGTTAGTTATTTGAAGGTAGTCATTTCAAAAAGCAAGTTTTCTAGTATAATTATTAGAATCTTTTTATGTTGGTTTACTCAGAGAACAAACCAACATAAAAATCACCCACCTGAGCTACAAATCTTCTCCACCATCTCAAAATTATTAGAATCATTATATCTTTAAGGCAGATGTAAAGGCGAGAATTGGCAAAGCAAGGGCAGCATTTCTACAGTTGAAGAAAATATGGAACTCAAAACAACTCTCAACTAATTTCAAATTCATAATCTTCAATACGAGCGTCAAGACAGTCAGTCCTACTGTACGGAGCAGAAACGTGGAGAACTACTATATCCATCGTCAAGAAGGTACAAGTATTTGTAAACACTTGTCTACGCAAAATACTCAACATTCACTGACCTGATATCATGAGCAACAGCCTTTTGTGGGAGAGGACAAACCAGCTTTCAGTTGAAGAGGAAATTAGTAAAAGACGTTGGAAGTGGATAAGACATATATTCCGAAATTGGAATCGTGAAGGGAAACGGAAAAGAGGGAGGCCAGAGAACACATTACGCCGGGAGATAGGAACAGATATGAAAAGGATGAATATTAACTGTAAAGAAGTTGAAAGTATTGCCCAGGATAGGGTTGGATGTAGAATGCTGGTCGGCTACCTATGCTCCTCGACGACAACAACGGTAACAGGCGTAAGAAGAAGGAGAAGAATGTTGTTTACCTTTATCCTATCATGTCTATTCTTTCATATATCAGTCAATTCGTACTCTGACATTTCAAAGAAAAAATCCAAAGTAAACTCTATTGAACCCAGTAGATTTATACCAGTGAACACAGTCGTTTCAATAAATATAATTACCGAAAAATTCTTATCACACTAAAGTACCAATATATGAATGAAGAATACTCTTTTCAAATTCCATAATGATAATATTCACATTAATAATACCAAAATTGGCCAGATTTAAAGTGAAATCAGTCAGTCAGTCAGTCACAACGTAGAACTTCGTACGTACTTACGTACATCAGTTCGAATTGCCATATCACATAAGGCAAAATAGATCATTTAGAAACTACAACTTGTTTTAATCATATATTTTATTATTATTATTATACTTGAAAACGCCTTGAGAAATCTATTCAGCATCCATCTCTACTTACTAATTCGTACCGAATTCATATTATCCTACATATTATATGATTTCTGATTTGTAATTACATTCTTGTCTCTCTCTCCCTTTCTCTCACCCTCATGGTGACTATATTTATTCAGATCATTTATCTTATAACTTTATTGAACGTATAAACTTATTCAACTTGACACTTCATATTTTACTATCCTAAATGGATGTATTATATTTTTTAAACGATTTATTTTGTAATTTTAACAGTTGAGATTATGAATCGATTGAAGCTAGACCATCATAAAAAACCTGGAAGCACTGGACAGCTGTTTCATCCCATTGTAGGATTGCTCAACAGTGAGCATCCATGATTCATGATGGTCTAGTTTCAATGGATTCATCATCTCAACTATTAAAATTACTATAATATTCATAAAACTCCTTCTAGTTTATTTTATCTTAAATCTGGCCATTTTGGAAGATTGTTTATTTGAAAATAATTGTAGAACTTAAAGAGATTTGATTCTTCAATTATCTATCTGTTATTTGAATATAATTGGTTGATACAAATAAATTATTGGTAGAACATTTTTACATGGTGGTATTATTTTATTAATCAATAGATGTATTTAAAGAAATTTCATACCTCCCCCCATCAAAAAACACTGAAAAAAGTGCTATTTTTGTCTGGAAACAAATTAAGAATCTGCCTTGTTTTACATGTAATTCTCATAGTAACAACATTTCAATTAGTAAAATTAATGATAAAAAGAATAGCAAATTTTATCTTGATTCCGAGATTCTATCATTTATAAGCCTATTTAAAAACACTCTGTATTAGTGGAGATGTTAATACTTACTATGTAGATCCTGAAGCTAATATATGATTTCTGAAAAGCTGAATCCTAAAACATGACTGTCTGTAGGTACTACTGTAGTGAACAAAAACACGGGTGGGGATAATCGAATATATTTAAGCACAAATTACAGACTATCTCACTAAATTCTGATAACCATACAGTGAACAGTTAATTTGCAAAATAACAAACAACTGTTTCAATATTCACTGTTCCTTCTGTAAATATCAGTCCAGCTTCTCTAATTCGATTGTTCATGCATTTTCCTACCAATTGCGTTTCATTTCAGTTTTTTTCTTTATCGGTCTTCTGACAATATACATCCTATGTCTGACCATCACCATATACTACTTATATGGATATAAGTAGACCACACCACACTACAAATCTGAAATTTGTTTGTTTAAATTTTAAACTTCCTTCGTATACCACTATAAAAATCAGTAATTTGTACTTCCTTAGTGAAATTCATGTCATTTTTTATTGAAAATAAGTCATATTACACAATGAATGAATCTCCTATTGAATAATAAGGTGATTAGGGCAAAGAAAAAAAAACATAAAAATGATTGTTTCTGAAGGACTAAGTGATAAATCTTTGTTAGTGAGTTTGTCTTTGTTAACCAACGATATGTCTAATAAACAATTTATTGCTATAAAGATCCAGCTAGTTTCTTATTTCATGGGTATTATTTAATCTTATCTATGAATATTCATATTACGACTATCATTCAAAAGATAAATTGACTTTACTTGAGTCTAAAATATTGCATATGATAGTCTGTAAGCAAATAACGAAAAGGTTATTGTATTATAAGTCAATTGAAGCTAGACCACTATAGAAAACCTGGAAGCACTGAAGAGCTGTTTCGTCTTACTGTGAGACTCCTCAGCAGTGCGCATCCACAGTCCCTCCTCACGAGATTTGAACCCAGGACCTACCAGTCTCGCGCGCAAACGCTCAACCACTAGACCACTGAGGCGGCTGGCATCCAACGGTGTGAATGTCCAACTTCAACCAATCCACGAAATCGAGCGACAAATCCACCATTATCTTTAGTTAGCTACTATCTCACAACAGACCTGGTTAAACTCCACTAGTCACTGCTTCTCACTAGAACTTCAGGAATTACTTCTTAAAGCCAGTCATGGAAATTCAAAGTATCATAAGCAGGTTCTTATTTCAACTGATATGATTTTAGGAAACGAATGGATTGATTAATCATCTGACTAAAACAAATCGACTATAAATTAACTTATTCATATGAAGAAAATCAAATAACTGAATTAGGAGTCACTATTTTATGATGATTACTTCAGTTTTATTAAACATAAGTCAATGAAGATATTGACCAATTAGATATGAAGTTAAGACTTCGAAATCATTTAACGTACCTGTTATCTTGGTGGAACTGATGCTCCCTGACGGATTCAATCCCGTGTCACTCAGCTTCACAGTCAGAGACGTTACCACTGAGCTATTCGGGCGGTGACCGACTTACTGTAGGACGGAGATGTAATCACCATTGATTGACCACTGGGTGGTGATCGATGTCATGCGTGTCAAGTTTATTTCACATTTTATGGCTAGAATATTTGTGGATCGGTGATAAAATTCAACTTCCACACCGTATCAAGAAAGTAGCATGAAACCCGGGTCCACAGTTTCCTGTTGACCACCTCCAACCACCATCTTATCTATAACACGTTATAATTAGTAACATCAAATTGATATCTTATGTAATTCTTTAATGAAAATACCGACTTTAAGGTTGAAGCCTTTAGAATTACATGACGAATGTTGAGAAATAATTATCGCTTGGATTTTTCTCTTTTCCTTGTTCCATACAACAAAATCAACATTGAATTTTACATGGATGAATACACATTTACGCAGACTGAATTAATTAGGTTTAATTTTGAGAATTCGTCGTATATTCTAACTGTCTTAACTAACTAACCAACCTATTAAGATCAGTTCCAACTAGCGAACTCTAAATCATTCACAAATAGATGAAAGTTTTTTCGAATTATTCACGCACACATAAAGTGTGGCAGCAGTGTGGTGTGAGTTACTTATATCTACATAAGTAGTATATATGACGTTGGTCTGGCATAGAATGTATTTCAGCAGAAGATCGATAAGGAAAGAATGGGAACGAAACGCAATTAGTATGAAAATGAATGAACAATAATAATCGGAGACTATGGACTGCTATTTGCAGAATAAACAATCCAGAATAAAGCAATTGATTGATAAATAGAAAATTATCAGAAGGGGTTTTGTGGAGATTTAGTATTTTTCATAGTAGAAAGCATGAGTCAATTGAAACTAGACCACCATGGAAAACCTGGAAACACTGGACGGCCGTTTCGTCCTATTATGGGACTCCTCAGCAGTGCGAAACGGCCGTCCAGTGCTTCAAGGTTTTCCATGGTGGTCTAGCTTCAATTGACTCATGCTTTCTACTATGAAAAATAGGAAATTAACTGTTTACTGTATAGTTATCAGATTTTACTAAGATATTCTGTAATTTCATATCAAGTACATTCGATTGTTCCCACTCGTGTTCTTGTTCACTACAGCAGTATGGTTTTTCAATGAAACCTATTGTTCTAAGAGATAAGTATGGTCAAAGTAAAATTATAACAAAATAAAAGGGGTTTGGGGGTGGAACACTTGAATTAGAACATATTATAACTAAAAATCAAATGTTTCTCACAAATATAAATGTTAAAATAAAACTTTCCCCAACTTTACAGAATTAATGAACTCTAGGATTTTGTTTACACTAGTGCGTTTATTAAAAAGTACATGTATGATGCAAAAAAGAAGTCTGAGATTTCAACTGTTCGAACGAAACTTTTATACATGAAACTACCATTCAACAGGAATGTGACTAGCGATACTCTGAAAGATAGGTTAACCAAAGTAATTAACAAGACATTCTACGCAATCAATCTTTAGTCGACTTTCTCGTGTCGACCAGTAATATTTACTCAAACGAAGGAAAAGTTACTTGAGCTAGCCTCCTCTATGTACATTTATAAGTTCAACTTCTCCTGTGGAGATAGCTATATTGAACGTACTACTAAGCAACTTAACCAACAAATGAGTGAACATCGATCAGCATGGTTTGGGAAGGGCCAGATAAAAACAACGAAAATTTTAAATAATAAAATATGAATATTTACATATAATAATAAAATATTTCAGTAGTAAATTTCATTTAGATAATTTTTTTTTAATATCCATTTTGTAATTAAATTTTTTTCTAGGTACTTGCTTTATTTGAAGAGAGTGAAGAAAGTATAAGTGCATTTGTAGAGCCCCTTGTTATTCTACTTATATTGATTGCTAATGCTGTAATTGGTGTTTGGCAAGTAAGTTTATACATTGTTTCATATTTTATTGATCAGAGGGGGTTTTGTGGAGAATTTAGTATTTTCACAGTTGAAATCATGAGTCAATTGAAATTAGACTACCATGGAAAACCTGGAAACACTGGACGGTCGTTTCGTCCTATTATTGGACTCCACATCAGTGCGCATCCACGACCCCCCTCTCACGAGATTCGAACCCAGGATCTACCAGTCTCGAGTCAGAGTCCTTAACCGATAGACCACTGAGCCGGCATCCAACGGTGTTAATGTCTAACTTCAACCAATGCACGATTTTGAGCGACCGTCCACCAATTGTCTTCAGTGAGCTGATATCTCTACAACAGACTTGGTAGAACTCCACTGGCCACTGCTTCCCACTAGAACTCAAGGAAATATCTCTTGAAGTCAGTCACTAGTGAGCATATGATTTTATTGTTTGAAGAAAGTAGTAATGATTATGGTAGTAGTAATATTTGTAAGTTTTATATATTTATGATAGAAATAGTAGTAGTATGGAAAAAATTGATAATTGGTTATTGGGACCCAGTAGGTAAGTGGATAATGTTATCGGATTTGAAGTGAGCGGTACTGGGTTCGAGTCCCACAGTGAATATCAACTCTGGGTTACAGGTACATCCAACTGACGAGACCGAAATAGGACGAAACGTGCCTCCTAGATTCCACTGCTAGCCACTATAAATCTTTGCTTATAATGCTTATGAATTAAGCTTATATCGAGGCGGTCCGCATGGTATGTATATATGCCAACAAGAGACTGATCAGTTGCACTCCTAAACATCAAGATTCAACCAAACAATACCAAGTGAATTTGAATAGATTACTGTTTAATATAATTTTAGTAACCAACGTCAGTTGAATAACATAAAATAACTGATAATCATTCTAACACCATGAGTTCATGTTGTTAAAGCTGGAAATTCCATATAGTCATTAGGGTCAAAAAACTCTGAAACCTAATTAGTAATAATTTCAAAGTTGAAATCATGAGTCAATTGAAGCTAGACCACCATCGAAAACCTGGAATCACTGGACGGCCGTTTCGTCTTTTTATGGGACTCCTCAGCAGTGCGCATCCACGACCCCCCTCTCACGAGATTCGAACCCAGGACCTAGCAGTTACAAGCCAGAGCCATAATAGGACGAAACGGCCGTCCAGTGCTTCCAGGTTTCCCCTGGTGGTCTAGCTTCAATTGACTCATGATTTCAACTTTGAAATATACTGAAATCTCCACAAATCCCCTTCTGATAATAATTTTGTGTAAATTTTATAACATTCATGATTCAATGAAGGGATTTAACTGAACATACATTAAAGCTTTGTTCAATTTGCTATTCGAACCTCTTGATCATTTAATTCACTCATTCATTTAAAGATAGTTTATCTTAGAAAACCAACATTGTTTAATAAAATATTATAAATTGAGAAACATTGATTAGCTATCTCTTCATATTCTGTTTATTCAGTACTTACTTACTTACTTACTCCTGTTACTTCTCATCGAGCATAGGCCGCCAACCAACATTCTCTGACCCACACTGCCCTGGGCCTTCCTTTTTAGTTCTATCCAACTTTTGTTCATTCTTCTCATATCTGTCTACATTTCTCGGCGTAATGTGTTCTTTGGTCTTCCTCTCCTCCTTTGGCCTTCAGAATTCCATGTGTTGGCTTGCCTTGTGACGCAGTTCAGTGCTTTCCTCAATGTGTGTCCTATCCACTTCCAGCGCTTCTTCCTGATTTCATCCTCCACTGGATGGAATCTGTTTTGTTGTCTCCCATAGTAGCTTGTTGCTGGTAGTGTATGGCCATTCATTCAGTGAAGCACATCATTTACAAAGCTCATACCATTTACTCCAATATCTTCAAATCTCATGCTAAGATTCAACTATTAAGATATTCTGTACCTCAATCAATTGATTATATAATATGTCCCTAGTAAGATAATTACAACTGACACAAATTTTATAGAGTTGATATCATGAGTCCATTGAAGCTAGACCACCATGGAAAACCTAGGAGCACTGGACGGCCATTTCGTGCTATTATGGGACTCTTCAGCAGTGCGAATCCGTGATCAATCAGGTCTGTTGAGAGATACCAACTCACTGATGACATTGGTGAATGGTTGCTCAATTTCGTGGATCGGTTGAAGTTAGACATTAACATCTTTGGATGCCGGTCGGCTTAGTGGTTTATCGAATAAGTGCTCTGGCGCGAGACTGATAGGTCCTGGGTTCGGATCTCGTGAATGCGGGATCGTGGATGCGCACTGCTGAGGAGTCCCACGGTAGGATGACACGGCCGTCCAGTGCTTCCAGGTTTTCCCTGTCGGGTTAGTTTCAATTGACTAATGATCTGAACTATATAAAAAAAATTACTAAAATCTTTTAACCAAACTCCTTCTGTAACTGACACAAATCTTTAATTAACTCAATTGATCTAAGAAAGTATGACTTCATGGTATCCAAGATACTACTCATAAATCTGATTCAATTTATCTTTATAAAAGTTAACATGAAATTTCATTATTAAACAAATTAATTATCATTAAATCTATTATTAGGAACGTAATGCTGAATCAGCTATTGAAGCATTAAAAGAGTATGAACCGGAGATCGCTAAAGTATTTCGAAAAAGTCATTATGGTATTCAACGAATTAAAGCCAGAGAATTGGTACCAGGTGATATTGTTGAAGTATCAGGTGAGTGACAAATTTTTATGTGTACTTGTTTTTTTTTTGTTTTTGTATGAATTGAAGTTTATCCTAACACTTTAAATAAGAAAATAAGATTGTTATGTGAATGTTTGGAAGACTCAGATTATTACTCAGAAAAAGCCCAAAGGTGCTCCGAAAACTCTGGGAAACATTATGTCCAATTAGCATTCAATAGAAGTTTCTCAGATACATCTAGAAAGTGAAAAGTTAAGTGTCATATTTCTGATTGGATGATAATCTATACTGCTAGTATGTTTAGTAGCATTCCAGAAGCTTTCAGAAGTCCAAGGCCATTTAAAATGTTATAAATACTCTAAATTTTCTGTACACAAACTAAGCTTGGAGTAAAGTGTTCTTTCTACATTTCACACCTTTTCTCTCATGTCCAAATTGTCGTATAGACTTAGCCTGGGGTTATTAGAAGAGGTTAGGAAACTGACTCAATCGTTCAATCAGAAGATTCATCATTAAACTTATATTCCTCTCACACACACAAACAACCATTTTTAGTTAACTGTGAAGTTGTGACTTAAGACAATATTGAGACAATATGGACAAGATAAACATATATCAATAACAGACTGATCAATTCTAGTTCTAATCATTGAAAATGGAAAGATTCAAACAACCAATACAAAAAATGCATTTTTATATAGTTTTCAATTCAATCTTTAGAAGATAAGTCAATGCAGAGATTAGTGATTATTACTGACTTTTATGTAATCACTGGGCTACAAGTTTCAATAATCACATGAAAAACAGAAATACATTCTATCCTTTTAATTATTGATTGATCCAATCTCTAATAAATAAAAAAGCAAGAAAGGTAAACAGAAGTTTCATTACAGCTTTAATTAATGAATGTGAAATATCTGGATAGTTACTAATGTTACGAGTTTCAAAGTTTTCGATTTTAGTTTATACACAATATTTGAATGTTTCAAAATAGCTATTCGAAATATTGTTCGTTTTATTCACTTGATGTTGTAGACTTGCATCTTCCCACTGTAATTTAGGACTGCAATTGATCAGTCTTTTATTGGCATATATGCATCCTGTACGGACTGCCTCGATATTGCCTGAAGTTACAAGCTTCATAAGCAAAGATGGATAGTGTCTAGCAATGGAATCCAAAACGCGCGTTTCGTCCTATTTGGGACTCATCAGCTGGATTACCTGCGTCTTAGGACTCATTAGCTAAGTGGATAACGTAATAGCGTTTGAAACGGACGGTACTGGGTTCGAGTCCCAGAGTGAACATCAATTCTGAGATGCAGGTGCATCCATCTGACGAGTCTGAAATAGGACGAAACGCGCCTCCTGGATTCCATTGTTAGCTACTATTCATCATTGCTTATATTTGTTTATTTTTGTGTTTTTTTTGACTGAATCCGATCAAATATTTCATTTTTACACCTTTCACTATTAATTAACAATAGACTAAACGGTAAATATGTTATAATTCAATAATATTGATTTTGAACTGTTACTGGTAAATTTTTTTGTATTATTAAGGTGGAAATGTTTGCTTTTTCACTGTCTGAATCATGAAGTCATCTTATAGGTTATGTATAAGGTTGCTAGGTATAATAAACAAATTATATTTCAATTATTTGTTTTACAGAACATTTTAGTCACCTGTTTAATCCATGAGGTATATTTTGAATGTTCAGTGATCCTTGATTTGTTTCTTGATACTATTTACTTACTTACTTACGCCTGCTACCTCTCGACTAGGAGCATAGACCGCACACTAGCATTCTCCATCCAACTCTGTCCTGGCCAATCCGTTCCACTTCTTTCCAGTTAACATTCATCCTTCTCATATCTGCTTCTATTTACTAACGTAATGTGTTCTTTGGCCTTCCTCTTTTACGCTTCCGCTCTGGATTCCAAGTTAGGGTTTGCCTTGTGATACAGTTTGGTGATTTTGATAGTATTTACTTTATCTCAAATATCGATTTTAGCAGAATAGTTTAATAATAGTAAAGAATATGACTGAAATGACAATGAATGAATAGCCGACGTTGTTCTACCTAATGTTAAGCTTCAATTGATAACATTTAAAGTATCCTCATCAAACTATACATTAGATGCCTTCCTTTTAAAAATGTCGTAAAATATTACTATCCAGACGGCGTCTTAATTAAAATTTACATTAAAACAGTACATACGTTATATTCGATCAAGTTGAGAAGATTACAAAACATTTCTGTTATCTACTAAAATCAATCTATGTAGCTTAGTAGAAACACATCAGAAATACAATTCAAATCATCATTCGCTCATTAACATACACCTATCCTAAACCACATAGTTTTCAATCGGTATAAGGTATTAATTCAATCAGTTTTATATATCAAATCATAAATGTTAATATAAATCACTAAATGTTGGTTCCATAGTTTAAATTAAAATCTTTTGTCTTAATCTCTGAATGTTCTTAGTCTAATTCTCAGTCGGTTAAGATTGATAAGTCCTGGGTTTGAATCTCGTGAGGCGGGATCGTGAATACTCAGTGCTGAGGAGTCCCACAATAGAACGAAACGGCCGGCCAGTTTTTCTAGGTTTTCCATGGTTGTCTAGCTTCAATTGACTCATGATCTCAACTATATAAAAAAATCAATAAAATCTCCACAAAACCCCTTTTTCATAATGATCATATACGCATTAGTGACTGGCTCCATGATGTATTTTCTGGAGTTCTAGTGAGAAGCAGTAACCATTGGAGTTCAACCCGGTCTGTTGGAAGATATCAACTTACTGAAGACATTGGTGAATGGTTGTTCAATTTCGTGGAAAGTTTATAATAATTAAAATATAATTGAAAAAGAATTATTCAACAAACTAACCCCCTTATTTTTCCACATTAATTTTTTTTCTTTTTTCTTATACAGTTGGTGATAAAGTACCAGCTGATATGAGAATAATTAAAATTATGAGTACAACATTAAGAGTAGATCAATCTATCTTAACTGGTGAATCTGTATCCGTGATTAAATTCACTGATGCTGTACCAGATCCAAGAGCTGTTAATCAAGATAAAAAAAATATTTTATTTAGTGGTACTAATATTGCAGCTGGTAAAGCAAGAGGTATTGTTGTTTCTACTGGTCTTATGACTGAAATTGGTAAAATTCGTAATCAAATGATGGATACAGAACCAGATAAAACACCATTACAACAAAAATTAGATGAATTTGGACAACAATTATCAAAAGTAAGTGATTGATTGTACCTTTTCCTTTTATTTCTTTATTACAGTTTTATTAGTCTTGTTACTATGACAACTATTGAAAGTTAATAATGGTTGAGGTAATGATCAAGAAACCTAGGTTTTGTGTTACTTTAAGATGTTGTAGTGCCGTGCTTCACTAAACGTTCACCTCGATAAACGTTATAATACAAATTTTAACGGTGCATAAAATCATAAGACAAAGAGAAGTGGCAGCTACAGTTTTATTGACAGTTGACACAGGCCAGAAAGTTATAAGCATATGAGTAAATATCAGCGAGCGAAGTAAAAATGATACGCATTGGAGATGGCAGGTAAGACAACTCACTTTAATCAAGCGTTAATCAACATTTATAGTCAGACAAGAATAAATGACAGACATGTGATAAGTAGTATAAGAAGTGTACACACACCTACGCTCATATAAAAATGGTCAGGGTTAATAAGTGAATAATGAACAAGGTGAAAACGTGACTCATGATGGTATAGGTGAATTGCCTTGTCCAGAAGTCAGAATAAAGCATATGGGCTTAACATACCAACCGATACTACGATGTATCTTTTAACTTGAGGGAAACTAATGCCCAATACCACAGATAGAAATGTTATCAATTGGTTGTCCAGTCAATGAATAATCTTCTGTAGAGCTGCGTGATCGAAGAGTTATAAATAGCATGATATCAATATCTAGTGTTTTTTGTTAAGCAGCTCTAGCCAATCACTGCCAAACACATATTATTACAATATTGAGTTATCAACTCGAATCCCAAAGTGAACATCAACTCTGAGATGCAGATATATCCAGCTGACTAGTCCACTACTAGCCACTATCCATCAATATTATTATGATTACAGAGTTTTTTTCGTAAAATATAATTTGCTTTTATTGATTAATTGATTTTTTTAAAAATTTCATTACACTAAGCAACACAATTATCAATGATTAATAGAAGGACTTGGAAACAATTCAATAGAACATGTGATCTGATTTTAAAAAATAAAATAAATAAATAAATATTTGAGCATATATTTTAAGTGCAGATTAACTTATTGTAAACAATATATTGGATAAATCATATTTTGAAATATTGGCCGATTTCCTAGAGGTTAAGCGCTTGCATGCAAGACTGATACGTCCTGGGTTCGAATCTCGTGAGGTGGGATCGAGGATACGCATTGCTGAGGAGTCCTATAATAGGATGAGACCAGTGTTTCCAGGTTTTCTATAGTGGTCTGGCTTCAATTAACTCATGATTTCAACTATATGATTTCCAATTTATTAATAATATACAATATTGTGAAAATCAAATTATTAATTAAGGAAAATTTATTGGTTGAGGTAATGGGAATCAGTGATTAATGATATCTGACAATAAGGATACGATCTAAAAGTATATTTAGATTGTTAACTGTTTTCAATTTGAATCTATTGTTAACTCTATTGTTTCGATCCTTTTCTGGGTATTTTTCTTTTTCATGGCATTATATGTGAAAATGTGAACGGATAAGAATTGAGAAAGTGATCCTTATCAAAAACTGATGTTATCTGATAAAACATTGAGAACTCAAGTCTACTAGACACTTTCTAGATCTAGGTAGTGACATATCAGAGGATATGACACCCATTGTACTAGAAAAGTTTGAATGTGTAACATTGAGACCTGACAATGAATGTGAAATATATATTAATCCACTCAACGGACACTCAATACTCCCAACTTCATGCTGACTTACCAAATAAAGAGATACCATTAATTATTACCCATAAGCAATATAATTGTCTCATTACCAACTTCATCAAATCCAAAGATAATCGTTTCATAGACGCCTAACCACCATAATTTTTTTGTTTTCACAAGCTTACAAACTTTAGGAAGATTGTAATTCTATTATTATTAGTAGTAATGGTAATGATAATGATAAGAATAATAATAGCAATGATAATAGTATTACTACCATAGTGATTGTTACAAGACTGTCATTCATTTGTTCAGGTTGTAGGCATTTGAACTCTGATATACATATAATGGTCAATCCTAAAAGTATAAGCCACTACACAATTTGTCGTTTGGTCACCAATCTTTTAGCATAAATATTTGAGGAAAGATGGTACGAAATTACCGGTCACACATATACACACCTTATTATCAAGCTTACTAATTAGTTGAATAACTGAACGACATGGAATAACTTTTCTTGAAGTTAATATCACTCAGTCTATAACCATATACCAAGCGATTCGGTTGAATGTATAAAGATGGTAGCAGAATTTTATTGAAAGCCATAAATTTCACTATATCTGTGTTTCCATTTGGTTTATTGGAATGCTCTACATTGACGTTGTAACAACAGATAAATGTTGATAATCTCAGACACTTAAAATAAAACATCTAGTGAAAATTACACTCTTACATGCTGTACCCACCTACTAAGTAGAAGAAAAATTGTCTGACAATACATTTGCTAAAGATTGGAAAATAGCTGTAATACTACAGCCACCTCATAATGATCAACGAAAGAAAACCATAAATTGAAATTATTACCCGTAACAGTATTAGATTTTTATACTGGAAAATAATCATTCCTATGAAAGTAAACATCATAATAAGTAGCGGAATGACCGTAAATCATTCTTGTTTACTTTACAATCACTGTTTAAACTTTTAAACCGTAAGATTAAAATTACTTTATACTTCTCTTTCTAAGAACTAATTCATTCTCCTTGTATCATATCCTTATACGCTATTTTATATATATATATATATATATATATATATATATATATATATATATATATATATATATATATATATATATATATATATATATATATATATATATATATATATATATATTACTACCATCAAAGTAACTGCTTCTATGGATTTAGTGTCCATCTTGTTGTGTTCATGAGATATGGCAACTTGGACTGATGCATATATGTGCATGGTCTTACGTCATAGCTAACTGACACGCTGACGATCCCTAAGACTTCAGCCTAAACATCTATCCCAGTACTCTAACTGATTTTCACCAACAATCCAATTGATATTAGCTGATGATGAAAATAATCTTTTTTTGCTTTCTGTTAACTCAATTCATAATGTGTAAGGAATAGTCTTATTTATTTATTTATTTATTTAAACACATCAATATTGGTACAAGGAAGCACTAGATGTATATGCACCACACAAATCTCATTTCATTTGTGTGAGGGCTGTGATACTGCCCAGGTGTCCAAACTGAAGCAGGTGGTTTTCTTAAGGGGCCACACCCGCAACCTTCGACCTAAAAATCTGTTCCACAATGCAGTGCAGCATCGTGAGGAGATGCAGTCCCATGGTAGCCGGTGACCAACAATAGGTTCATACACCATTTGTTCCTTCAGGATACTAGAGCCCATGTGCATCATTGGTTTGGAATCGGGATTTTCCAACTCTCCTAGGTGAACTTTCCGTGTCCACCAACCCGGTTAAAGCGCCGGACATTCGCTTTTCGTCCTCTCAATTCCGTAAACAACAGTAATGTCGTGAGAAGGCAGTTAGTAGGACTTCCCTGGCAGAGGCGCGTGGCCATATGAGAGCACTTCGAGAGGGAGAGCGGACTCTCCCCACTCTCGGTCGTACCATGGCATTTGGGGACAAGGATTAGTTGAAAGTGTTTTTAACACTTACGAGACACATCCTATATTATATAAATATATATGTGTAGAGGAGGTTTAGTTAATATGTTATGATCATTTATCAGTAAGTTAGTTAGAATTCATGTCTAACTGTTACCAATATTAACTGAATTGTATACATTATAGGATGAATTATTTCTTTCAGAAGGGGCTTTTATGGAGATTTTTAGTAAATTTATAGTTGAAATCATGAATCAGTTAAAGCTAGACCACCATGAAAAACCTGGAAGCACTCAACAGCTGTTTCGTCTCATTGTGGGACTCCTCAGAAGTGCGCATTCACGATCCATTTGTTTAACGATTAGAATTTCTCCCTTTCTATCGAACAATTGCATGAATAAAATTTAACACTAAGGTATATGTTCATGTATAAACGAAGATGATCATTATGTACATCAGTGAATGATAAAGTCACTAAGATAAAAGTTGACAATTGTAAAGAAAATAACATAAAATTTTACCATTATTTTAAGAATATTGATTTTATTATAATAATCCCAATTTCACCTAATCTACTTATTCTGATTGGTTAATTAATATTAACAATCGGTGATTAGATTTGATTGATGGACAAAATACACCACTACTATTCCCTCTCTCTCTCACACACACACACACACTTTCACTCTCCTATTAGATCTTTCGTATAGAATTTGTTCCTTTTCTTTTGTCTGAAAAAAAGTAAATAAATACGAGGTAAAGTTCGGAATATTTTTAGTAAATGGATATTCATTCAAGAAAAGAACTACCTGTGTGTATATCTTTATGTATAATAGACAAGTGTAGGTGTGCTACATAAATGTACATTATATGCATGTTAATATGTGTACCTGTTACTAAATACATATGTTGTAAGTGTGCATAACATTATAGATCTTTGAAAGAATAATAATCAACTAGTCAGAAAATTATTTCAACCATAGCCACAGAAGTCTTCACTATAAACACTGATAGTGGCAGTAAAAGGATGGATAGTAACTAGCAATGAAATCTAGGAGGAAAGAAGTTATGAAACAATTTTCATCTCAAGGTTTAAGAGAAGATAAATAGTGTATACACCTACGCCATTGTGATCGATTCTGAGCCATATCACCCAGAGTTTCCAACCATTGGTTACGATAGTCACGCGGACCCCAACCAGGTAGTCTGCATCTACCAACATGGCTCAGATTAGAAGTTAGTGACTTCAAGCACTGATTCCATGTTTTGGTTTGGCCGCTCCTAACTCTCTTCCAACCATCCCCTACACTAGTCAACATTGCGCGTCGTGGTAATCGATGTTCAGGCATACGTAACACGTGGC